CAAAAAAAAAAAAAAAAAAAAAAAAAAATTACAGAGATGAATATTTGATGGCCAGCCCCTCTTTTCCATTGTAAAGCATTTCCCACTTCCCATACATGGAAGTAATCCCACAGGGCTTACTTCTCTATTTATTAAAATGTATTCACATAAGAGCAGCATATGGCTGACCTACTACCCTCAGCAGAGTGTCCATTCAGCTATTTTAAGTCATTGGGATAAATAAGATAACCGAGCAAAAGTATCTGGTTGGTAAAAGAAGATAATAAGTGATAAAACCTGAGTCTAGTAGGCATTTGAAATATAGAAGCTATATTCATCCTCATTCCCCCCACCCCATGAGATCTTTTTTGTCTTTGTCAAAATTTAACAGAAGGCCCAGTAAGATAAACCAGGAGGCTGCGCTGAAGCTATTTCGATGTGTGTTTGAGGCCACATGAGGTCTCATACCTGTCTGTCATATGGCGCTAGAATCAAGTGCTATCCATGAAAACTGGAGAATTCTTTATCCTATTTTTGCCTTTGTTTTATGGTTCATCCCTTTGCTTATAAACTCTCAGAATATTTCCCTTCCCTTTTCTTAATTACTGGATTATAGGGCAAACCTAAACATTTGGTAAAAGATCCGTGTGAATAAAACATTATTTCAATTGTTTTATTCTTTTGGATTCCCTGTTATTATATCCTTCCTCTAATCACCAATAATTGAAAATTACATGAACGCCTCCTTATTGGGTAGGTCAACACGTGTCTAGTCTTTGGCTACTCTCTGGTCCCACCACTTTCAATAGCTAAACTTGTAGAAAAATGAGATTGTGGACTATTACCTCTTTCTGAACTGCCCTTGGCTCGACAGTCTTGACAGATCGCCTTCTTCCTCCTTCACTTTCCCAAACCAGCTTTTACTGAGGTCCTTCCTGACTTTTCCATCCCTACGTGTTTTGACTATTTGTCAGGTCTTGTTTTACTTTGCGTCTCCGCTGTCCTCGCTCTTGTGGATCACCCCCTCTTGAGATCCTCTCCTCCTTTGTTTCCGACTCCGTCCCGTCCTAGTGTTTTCCCACCTCTGATTCTTCCTTCTTGGTATCCTTTGCAGCCTTTGTATTCTCTCTCCAACTTACTTAGTCCATGTTACTGCTTCCTAGGTCTCCACCTGTGACTCCTTTCCCTTCTTCCTCTACACACTGTGACGCCTCTTTTGACAGTTCCAATGCCTCTTTGCTCCACATCTCTCTGTGGCTTTCAGACACGTGTAACAACTGCTTATTGGATATCGTCACTTGCCTGTGTGTGAGACACCTCAACTCCAGAACTCCCAAGCCGAACTCCTCATGTCATCTCTCCTAACCCCCACTGTACCTCTCCTTGGTTTGCTCAGAACCTGGAATAATTCCTGACTTTTTTCCCCAATCTTGTCTCTTTCAGTTAACTGATAACCTAGTCTTCAGTCTGATTACTAATCTCCTTCTTAATGTTGTTCAAATTGGTCTTTTTCCCTCCACTCCTATTGTCAGGACTTTAATCTGGTTTTTCTTGAGGTTACCATCACAGCTTCCCAACTGCCCTCTTCTTCCCTCCAGCTTCGTACCCTCCTGCATGCTTTCAATTTGACGACAAAGGAATGAAATTCCTAAACCACGAATTTCAAAATATCATTCCCTGTTTATCAACCTATAATGGATCTCTGCTGTGTTCATCACAGAAGTCTAAATTTCCAAGCTTGGGTCATATGAATACCCCCTACCACTTTTCAAAAATCAGGCCTCTGTAAAGAAGTGAAACTTCCTTTTTCATGACAATATCTCCCTCAATCTACCCATACTGACTGGAGATTCTCTGCTATGTCACCCATACTGAGTCATTCAAGTGCCTTCTTCCTTGAATGAAACTTTCTTCTTGCGCTTTTGGACACGCTCCTCTTTTTACTGGGAATATTATTTTCCCCTCACCCAAAGGCCTTGCTTTCCCTAACTCCTCTTTATCCTTCATGAGCCAGCCCAGAGTTTCTCTAGGAAGTTGTCCCTGCCCCACCACCCAGCCCAACCCAGCTCCTCACATAGCCATTATCCACACTTCTTTACACATCTGACTTCTCTACTGGACAGAAACTCTTGAAGGGCAGTGACTATGTCTAACTCATCCTGTATACCCAGTGCCTTTGAACAGATGTTGATCACTGCCTTTGTTAAGCCAATGAATAATCCAGGTGTGGAAGCCAGCCTCCCAAAAGACTCCAACAATCTCGCCTCCTGTAACTCACACCCACAGGTAGCGCCCTCCCACACTGCACCAGGGAAGACGGCACCTGTTGTGACTGGATCTACCTAGGGGCATATATGGCAAGGAATTTCATGAGGCCTCTAGCCAACAGCCAGCCGGGCACTGAGGCCATGTAAGCATGGAGGTGGGTTCTCTTAGCCTGGATCAAGTCTTCACCACGGCGGCCCTGACCAAGGGCTGGTCTATATGGGGATTAAGCTCTGAAAGGCTCCTAGAGCTACAGGCTCTTAGCAAAACCCTTCCCAGATTTCAGCTTCTTAGACACTGTGTGAGATAATAAGTGTTTGTTGTTTTCAGCAGTTGTATTTTTTTGAGGGGGGGGTCATTTGTTACACAGCACTGGCTAACAAATAAACTTGGCCCAATGAAATACGTGCTTTACCATTTCCACGGCACCTCTGATAATCCCACAGAGTAAAGTGCAGTAGCACAGAAAGGATCGCCCGGTGGGGAGCTCCTCCACAGACTCCACCAGCGGATTCTTGTCTAGGATCAGGGAAAATTCAGTCCTGCTTAAGTTGTTACATGTCACACTTGGTGTAATCCCCAAGTACATCTTAAAGGCAACCTAATAAAGAGGAAAAAAAATTCTACAAAACTTGGTCTAGAACAAATATCTATTAGCCGAGCACCCAAATATTCTGTTCCAGGCAGGACAGCACGATGGTTAAGCATGTGGAGTTTGTAGTTGGGAAGTCTGGGCTCATACTCAGCTTTGAAATGTACTGACCCTGTGATCTGTACACGTCTTAAACCCTTTCATTTTTATGGAATATCCTAAGGGACCCATTTTCTGTTGAAACAATATGCTTTATGAAGCAGAGTTAAGCATTATTTCTCAAAAAATCATTTTCAAAAATAAATATCGTTCAGGAGGGTAAGAAATTAAAATATTAGTCATTGTTAGGGTTGAGGGTAGGGGTGGACGTGAGGTCAAGGGCAGAGATACTAATCGAGAGGTTGCTACGATCTCCTGGGAAAGAAACGATGAGGACCCTTCTCATTTTGTCTTTCATTCAAACTCAAATGTTCCCTAAACTTTTCCATCTAAATTTCACATAGCCCAAATCCTAAAATTTGACTCAAATCTCTGACACTAGTCAGTTTAAGAGGATGCAAAATGAATCTTCCAGATCTTAAGGCAAAGCAGCAGTGAGGGAAAAGGCATTATGAAACTCCCCGCCTAGAGACATGCTTTGGCTCCCAGTGAAACCTCCTTCTGCTCATGTTGGTTCCTCTGACTGGAAAATTCCTGGACTATTATTGCTGTGATTGAGAATCCAAGCCACGTGAAAATAATAGAAAATGGAAGCAGTGCCCTTTGAATCTACTCTGAGTCTCTGTGTTTCGGCCCAGGTTCCACAGCGTTAAATCCACCAGTAGGAGGCATTATCTGGACACAGTTGGGAAACAGTCATTCCTGGGGAATGACATTGTTTCCTTATCTGGCTGAATTCAGTCTGAGAAGGAGGAATGTTTGTTTCTAATGAAGAAAGAGCTCCACCCCTGGCCACTGCCACAGCTGCTCCCCAGATAAATAAGCAAAGCCATTTCCCTTGGTGTGCCTTCAGCATGGATGCTTTTCAAGGGATTTTAAAATTCTTCTTCAACCAGAAAACTGTAATTGGCTACAGCTTCATGGCTCTGCTGACCCTGGGGAGTGAGCGTCTCTTTTCGCTGGTGGCTTTTAAGTGTCCCTGCAGCACTGAGAACGTGATCTATGGGCTGGTTTTCCTGTTTGCTCCTGCTTGGGTGTTGCTGATTCTGGGATTCTTTCTGAACAGCAAGTTTTGGAGGCTCTTCACAGGCTGCTGTGTGAATCCCAGGAAAATCTTCGCCAAAGGCCACAGTTGCCGCTTTGTCTATGTCCTCGGCCAGATCACTCTGAGTTCACTGGTGGCTCCGACGATGTGGCTTTCTGTGGCTCTGCTCAACGGGACGTTTTATGAATGTGCCATGAGCGGGACCAAAAGTTCCAGACTCCTGGGACTGATTTGCAAGGGCAAACCCCAAGAGTGCTGGGATGAACTTCCCAAAGTCTCTTGTGGCAAAACCAGCATGACACCCGCGGACAACGAAGAAGTGAAGCTGTCCCTTCAAGCCCAGTCGCAGGTAAGGAAGGACAGACTCTCCTTTCTCTCCCAGCAGGAGCTTGAAGGATTCTCTTTTCTCTCGGGGACTCCTTTCAGGCAGAGCTGAGTCTGAATCCTGCTAGAACATTTTGAAATGAAAGGAAAATTGGAACACAGTGCAGCATGAAGACAATCTCAGGAAAAGCTTTTTAGGGGTTGGTGGTTTGGTAAAATTGCTGATGGGATGGTCTTTCCTATTTCCAAAAAGAAAGTATCTTCTGGGTTATGCATATGTCAATCCTTAAGTGCTTTTAGAACAATCTCTCTGGGTTGACTTGGTAAATAATGCATGACACTAACTCATAATTGAGTGTTAATGACAGAGCTGTAATTAGAAATCACTGCCTCCTATCAATTATTTATTTTCAAACTGGTTTCTCAGAAAAACACGTGCAGATAGCATTCATCTATTAAAATAGAGCTGAACCAAATGTTTTTCAAAGAGGCACGTAATATAATTAGTGTAGAGATCCCCTCAAATGATTTCTGGCACCTGTTATCTCTGTGTATAAATATTGTCAAGATTGAGAAAAATTTCCTGTGTTACATGGGCGTTGGCAGTCTTTAAATAGCCGTTAGTGAAAAGGGACCGTGTTCTCTAGGGAGGTTCCGTCCTCTGCTCTTTTTACCCGCTACAGCTGAAAATATTCTTACATTACTTGAGCAGCTCAAGTAATGCTTTATTTGGGACACTGTTTTATTGAACAGAGGGAAACCGTAGCTTTACCTAACTGACACCAGGAAGTAGCTTGTCATCCTTCCAGGTACCTGTGCACAAATCCAGATGGGACGCCTTCCCTGGCCTCCGGAAAAGGAGTTCCTCCTCGTGAGTCGTGAGTCGTGGGGTTACATTCCCCAAACCACAACAGCTAATCAGAGTAGATAAACAGACCCACAATTTGTCAGGAATGCCATTTGTTTCAGGAAAAAAAAGTGCACTGAAAGGAGTATAATTTTTTACTTTTTCAACAAGGACCCGCCTTTTCAACAAGCCATCTGGGCAGTCTGGTTTTAAAATCATACTTTCCAAAGCTGGTCAGCGGAAGAGTCACACCGTACTTTTTACACGAACAGATAAGCTTAAAAATGCCCCCAGACAAAAGCTTTTGTTTAATGCATAAAGCACATCTGAGATAAAAACATGCCAGGATCCCAAACGTCTTCCTTCTTTTGTTGAAGGAAGGTATTAATTCCGAATGTTATGATACAATGAGTGATTTATGATTTATGTCCTCAGGCACCAGACTCTATTCAGTCAGTGCCAGGTCCAAACACTTATCACCGTGTGAGCTTTTCTTCTCTAAACACAGGCATAAGGAAATCATGCACATCCTGTCATCGCTTAGCCCGGGCACACCACCTGTTTACTTTTCAGCAGAATGAGAAGGACCTGGGGCTGATTTCTAGGGGAGGATGCGTGTGGGATGTGGACAAGGGGAGCGGTGCCAACGGCAGGTGCTGACCGCAGTGGTTCAGCCAGGAAGGAGTGACAAACAGTCCAGATCAATAGTTGGGTGTGTGGGTGGGGGTGGAAAAAGTGCCCCATCCGTGGCTGGGCCAAGGAAACAAGAAATCCAGCTGGGCAGCTCTCTATTTTAAGCAAGTCGAGAGGACTAGTGGCCAGAGGTTGGTCTTCGAGTTGGCCAGCTTGGGGTTTGAATCCTGAGTTCACCACTTACCACTCTGCGACCCCAAGCTCATAGTTTGACCCCTCTGAGCCCCTGTTTCCTCACAGTTGGGACGAATAACACCTACCTTGGGAGGTTGCTGGAAGGTGTAGAGATGACGGACATACATGGGCGTAAAGCTGCTGGCACACAGTCCGAGTTCTAAATGAATGAGCAAACTGCCAGGGTTTGAGAGAGGGGAGTCATGCGGAATGCGGAGAGCTGGGGTGGGAGCGTCCACCACGTCTAGCCAGAGTCTCCGTACTGTGAACTGGCGACGAACAAGAGGGCTCAGGGCTCAGCCCTCAGGTGAGAGCACGGTGATGCTGAGATCAGACCAAGATCTGTGGTCGATCAAATAGTATAACCCGAGCAGAACTGGCTCGGATACTGTGGTGAGATGGCCTGCTGGCCCATAGGAGGCCCGGCTGTGTGGAAAGAGGAAGGTAGAAGAGAAGAGATGGGGAAGATCACAAGTGATTCAAGGTAACTATGGGACTTTCACATGATAGGACCAGTGCCTCATTCATAAATCATGCCACAAAGAACCATGAGTTCAGAAACGCTTTTACGTAAATGTCAGTATGTTTGAAAAATAGCAGCACGTGATACCAGCTAACGCTTCCTGAATGCATATGTGTGTCTTCATTGTCTTATTTTAATCCACCAAACTCCCCTCAGAGGTGGGGAACTGCCATTTTATAATTGAGGAAATGAGGCACCCATAGGAAATGAGAACACCTGTAGGGAGGGGAAGGTTGAGATTTAAACCCACCTAGTGCCCGTTCCAGAGTTGGCGTTCGTGGGAGTCTGGGGCCTTCACAATGGCCCCACAGCATGAGCCCGCGTGTGGGATCTCCGGATTTAAAGCATCAGGGCTTGTTGGTAGTTCTGTTATGGTCGGAATGGGTTCATTTGCAGATTATTGCTTCTATTTTCAAATAGGCCCATTTGCTGAGAAATACCAAGAGTCACTTAATGAAAATGTCAAGAGAGACTGTGAAAGGGCTCTGTTAGTTGTCCAAATAGGAGATCAATTCCAATTTTGACAAGTATAATTAAGAACAACAAGAAAGTTTAGAAGGTCAGTTGAGCTATTTAGAGTTCTGCTCTTAAAATTCAGGAAAAAAAAAAAAGCGGGTTGAACCAGTTTGTACTCCGAAAGGAATTTTTTTCCCCAATTACCAAAATTCAGAACCAACTATCCTGAAGGTTTAGAATGACTTTAATTTTTTTTTCCCTTGGCTTTTTTGAGGCCTTTCAATTCTTCTAGCTTTAGTTTCCCCATTGTATCATGTCTCTCTCACTTTATCATGGATGGTCACTCATGGGATTTCTCTCAGAGAGGATCTGTTTTTCTCCGCAAACAAAGTAATATGGAAAAATCGGTCACTAGCCATGAACATGTACTTACCAATGCTGACAGCTCCGGGCTGAGGAAATGCTCATTTCCTCCAATGATCATATTCACTTAGGCATGGAATTCTTTCCTTTAACAATTAATACTCTTTCAGGGGGTGGTTTAGCTGATTCTTGGATAATTTATATTTTTGCTCTTTTCCATTTGTCTGCCTTCTGGTTATTTCTTTGCATACCAGCAGTGGTGGGTGGGATGAATGATAGGGATTGGGTAAACCTGCACTTTCCTTTGATCATTAAACAAGAATGATTAAAAAATGAATATGAAGGATTTCCACTGAGATAGCGGCAATGACTGTGGTATTAACTGGGTCGTATGCTGACCAGTAACACCATCTGTGCTCCTTGAGAAGTGGCTGTGCTTTTGCACGTCCTCAATGTCTTTTTTTCTTAGATTCTAGGTTGGTTCATCATTTGTTCGGCATCTTTCTTCTCTCTGCTCACCACTTGTTGTGCTCGCTGCCGATCTAAAGTTAGCTACCTTCAGCTGAGTTTTTGGAAGACGTATACACAAAAGGAGAAGGAGCAGTTGGAAAATACATTCCTGGAGTACGCCAACAAGCTGAGTGAGAGAAACGTGAAATGCTTTTTTGAAAAAAAGAGGCCAGATGTCTTACCCATGCCAACCTTTGCAGCCTGGGAGGCGGCTTCCAAGCTCCATTCTTTCCACCAAAGCCAGCAGCATTACAGCACCCTGCATAGGGTGGTGGAGGATGGCCTGGACCTTGGCCCCGAGGATGATGAGACCACAATGGTGCTTGTGGGTACTGCCCACAGCGTGTAGCGCATCCACGGCCGCGGACTCGTGGCGTTCAGCGGTACACTCATTCTGACATTTTTGCTGCATCACTAGCGACCACTGTGTCTCTGTGTTTTCTGGTATTTCCTTGAGGACAAGAACCCGAAGGGAAGAGATTTGCAGCTCCCAAGGGCAGGCAGTGTCTGGATGTGCTGAAATGGATGCAGAGTGTGTGGTCAAGGATGGTGAGGAAGGTGCTCTTCCACTGATGTGGCTTGGGGTTCAGTGGCTTCAGGTTCTTCTGTGTGTTTTTTTTTTTAAATAAATTTTGTTTATTCATTTGATAAAGAAAGAGAGAGCATTCATGCAGTGGGGGGGGAGGGGCAGAGGGGGAGAGGGAGAAGTAGACTCTCCATTGAGCAGGCCCAATGATGACTCGGGGCTTGATCCCAGGATGCCAGGATCATGACCTGAGCCAAAGGCAGATGCTTCATGGACTGAGCCACCCAGGCATCCCCAGTGGCTTCAAGTTCTAAGATTTTATGGTTTGACAGCGGGACTCATGCCAGAAGTTCGGCCACTTTATGTAAATATTGGTTGTGGCATCTGGGAGCAAAAGTGTTGTAACTTGGGACTAAGTACAAGACTCTTCACAGACGGCCGTAGACAGTGGGATTTGCGGTGTAGTCAGAGGAAATCCTTGTCCTGCAAATCTATTCTACTGCCTTTCAAGGACATATGAAATTCTAGCATTTGGAATTCATTTCCTTGGAATCTGAAGTCAGCAGTTCTCAAGAATAACACATTGAAAGTATATGATGCCTAAAATTCAGAGCTTTTCACATGATTCCACTGTGCACTGAAAGTATGTCCCTACAGGCAGGGCCGTATTATGGCTTTTGGGGGCCCTAGGCACTTCTGCCTTCATGGACCCCTTTCTACATTAAAACACGCACACACATTTATGAATGTGTTAATATAAAGACAAGTATATTAATAGTATATACTAAAGCAGTTTTCAACCCAAAAGTTCATTTATTTTCTTCTGATTTTAAAATAAATTAAAAACACTTTCATGAGCCCCTAAAAGTATCACGGGCCCTAGGCATAGTACCTGCTATGACTAATGGGTAAGTCGGTCCTGACCAGATGTTTGGGGAAACTGTCAAGGCAATGCTAGTGTAGAACTGTTCTGCAGTTTTATGTTTATCAGAAATAATGCAAATTTTGTGTATTCTATTATGTAATATACCCATGTTAGTTTAAATATAGATATATACACATATGTATGGACATATACATATATGTATGGGGGGTCCAAGGTTATATGTATATATACATATATGTATAGCTTAAATCTACACATATTTACTAACATATACATTAGTGTAAATCTATACATATATATGTATTTAATATATGTATATATTATATATATGTATATGTTTATATTTAAGTTCCCCCCATATCTCTTAGCAGAACTAATGTGTAAGGAAGAGACACTATATCTTACGCTATGGCTCACACCTTATATCACAAAGAGTCCTGGCCCTCTAGCTGGTGAATCCGGGGAACGAACCTTTATGACCATGGACCTTATCCCCAGTTGAAGAAAGGACCGTAAACGTATTAAGACCCAGAATACATCCTTGGGAACTTAGAGCAGGCTCAGGTGTGTGTGTGTGGGGGGGGTTTAGGTGGGACAGTGGAAGGTGGAGGATGGAAAGTGGCAATCTATTTGCAATCTATTTGGTATATTACTTGGATTTTAAACATGGTGTGTGATTAATATTTAACAACTGGCTCTTTAAAAAATCCCGGTTCGAACTGTTTGCCAATTTCTATGGCACAGATTCAAGTTACCCCGGTGAGATCACTGAAGGCAGAGTGAGGAAGAGATGCCAACCACAGGCTCCCTTGAGCCTTTCAAAGAAGCTCATAAAGCTAGCTTTTTTTTTTTTTTTTCCTCATTTACATTGATTCTAACCAACCAACTTCACTGCATCTTTGGTGCATCTGGGTTTCACTTTAACAAAACCTAACCATGGTAACGCAGCTCATCGGATCCAATGGAAAGATGGAGTCTTATCCTTTGCCCCTTGAATCTGGCCTTCCTCAACCAACAGCCTCTGGCAGAGTGAAGCCAGACTGTGCAAGTGTTGCAGCTTGTGCCTTATCTCTGGCAATGCTCGTCCTGGCAGAAGGCAGCCGCCATCCAAGAAGTCCTTTTACCCTGAAAGCTCCAAGTTCTGAAGAAGGCCAAGCTAACCAGGAAAGAGAGACAGAGAGAGAGAGGAGAGAGGAGCCTGGTCAGCCCAGCTGTCCCAGTCATTCTAGCTTAGATGCCAGATGCATCAGTGAAGAAGTCATCCCAGCCGGTCTCAGTAGACATGACATAGAGAAGAACCAGAGAACCGAACCAACAGCTAGAACAAAGATCACAGGTCTTTGGTCCTAGTGGAGCCCTTCCAACCATCCAGACTTTTGAGCTGCCCCTTCGGAGGCCGCAGACATTGCAGGGCACTGCCTTTGTGTCTTGCCTAAATCCCAGACCCAGGAAATCCGTGAGCTCAAATAAATGTTGATTGTTTTAAACCACCAAATTTGGGGACACCAGAAATCAATAGATAGCCTAAACCTAAGTCCGGAAAATCAGAATTTATTAAGGGAGAGAAAGTGGAGGCGAATCAAATTTAGACATAGATTTATACAAAGATTCTCTTCATGCATAAGCTTTTCCCTAATTTGTTCATCTAGATTCCATTTAACAGTATATCCTCAATGGCACAATTTAACAGATGCCGGATAGGTGTCTCTCCAAAACTGTTCCACCAAAGCCTGAGATTAATTTCCAATTACTTCTGGCTGAATTTGTTGTGAGAGGAACACACTTCTGTGGGTTAAATTCTGTTTAAAATAAACATACCACTGAGAGAAGTAACATATGATTTGTCATTAATACCTAGAACAAAACGGGAGCGGAGGGGACAGGATGAGTTGGCCTTGAGTGAACTAGAAACAGATTGTTCCTCTAGTCTCGCTCCTCCAAGTGTTGTCTCTGACCATCAGCACCATGAGGGAGGTGGCCAGCCAGGCAGAATCAGACCCCATCCCAGACCTGTTGAATCAAGTCTTCACTCTGACAGGATCTTAGGTGATTCCTACACAACTTAAATTTTAGAAACGCTAGAGCCGTAGTTCTCAAACTTGTAGCTCATGTCAGAATCCTCCAGAGGATTTGTTAACATGGAGACTGCTGAGACCAGATTGTCTGATTTGGTAGGTCTGGGATGAGGCAAGAGAATTTGCATTTGTAACCAAGTTCTCAGCGGATGCTCATGCTCTTGGCTCAGAGGCCACACCTTGAGGCTGCTCGAAAGCACAAAGAGGCCATGCTTGGGAAGGCAGGCTAGACGAGATTCAGGACCTTGGGTCCCACCCCAGAGCCCCAGAGCTCCTGAATTAGATACCTTGGTTATGATGTTATCAACCTGTCTGGGAACACGGGATGCCCTTCCATTTCTTTTCCATTTATTCAAAGCTACCCTTTGTCCTTCAGGAATAGTTTAAAGTTTTCCTCACACAAGTTTTGTAACTTTTCTGTATTTCTAGGCATTCTTCTTTTCTGCTCTACTCCATGGTTTCTTTTTCCCATGGTATCTTCTAAGTCGTGCTTAGTCGAGTACATGAAAAAGCTATTTCTTTATGCATATCATGATTTGATTCTTTGTAGTGCTCTTCAGAATTAGAAAATAACCATTGTGCTTCCCCTACGGACATAATGGACCTACGTAAGAAATAACAAATTCTCAGCTCCTAGGGGAAAGCACAGTGGGAAGCGGCCCACACCACTCGAAGCCACTCATGTTTCTTAGCGTCGCTAAAAATGGGACGGCCAGAGGTTCCGTGCCTCCCTATGCTGCACAGTGCAAGAGCAAGTCCCCAGGATCACCTGTCAAATGTGTCCTGAAAAATTCGGTCTGAATCAAATTGCGTATTGAGACCCAATTACTGCTTTGTAGGAGATACAGGCCAAAGGGAACAAGTTAATGAGGAAGCGACCAAGTAAATCGATGATACAGGACATTCTGTGTGACACACGACACAGTCTTCTATAGACCGATGGCATGGAAAAGGGGGAAAAAAAGAGACGGGAGAGACATAACAACAGAAGCAACACACGAGCCGTGTGTGTGAACTGCTTCGCACAGCCAGCTCTAACAGGAGAGCTTTGTGATATTTCGGGGAAGATGAATGAGTATTAAATGGGTGTTAGATGATTTCAGGGAATTATTTATAATAATATTACAAATTAAACACATGTATAGAAAATACATACCATGTTATGTATAATAGTGGCATGGCAGTTTATATATTTTTAAAAGTCCCTTCCAGTTACAGATGCATATTGTTTCTGTGTAAATTAACGTATTGTTTAGAATCTTCTTTTTAAGGACGCCTGGGTGGCTCAGTCCGTTAAACATCTGCCTTCAGCTCAGGTCATGATCTCAGGGTCCTGGGATCAGAGTCCCACATCAGGATCCTCGCTAAAGTGGGAGTCTGCGTCTCCCTCTGCCCCTCCCCCTACTTGTGCGCACTCTCTCTCTCTCTCTCTCTCTCTGATATAAAGAAATAAAATCTTAAAAAAATAAAATATTTCAGCACAAAAAAGGGGGGTAGCTGAAAGATGACACGAGAAATGGCAAAAGATGGATACTTATTGAACCTGGGTAGGTAGTACGTGGGATTTATAAAACGTGCTCTTTACATTTGTGTATGCTTGCAAATTTTCGTGAGAGTTATGCGATGAAATAAATGGTATGCTCACCTCAGTTCTTCTGCTGAAGAGTTGTCAGTCAGCTCCTGCTTGCCTGGTTAGATCCTCTAGTATCATTCTCAGCAAAGGTTCTCAGGAATACTATTCCCTGAATTCTTAGTCACATGTTGGCGTGTTCTCTACTTGAAGGACAGCTTAGCTGGTTTACACTTTCTCTACTTGAGTGTATTTTACGTGTTAGTCCGTTTTCTGTTGTTACTGGATGTTGCTGAGGAAAAATCCAATGCCATCCTGATTTATTTCTAACATAATGTTTTTGCTTGTATTTTCACTTTCTTTTTTTTTTTTTTTAATATTTATTATTTATTTGAGAGAGAGAGTGCAAGAGAGCATGAGCGGGGGTGGGGGATTTGGGGGGCGGGGCAAAGGGAGAAGGAGAAGCAGACTGACCCCTAGTGCTAGGCTCTATCCCAGGACCTTGAGATCAAGTGTGTCAAGGCAGGCACACTTAACCAACTGAGCCACCC